CCATTCAACGCGGAAGGTGCTGTGTGTTATGAGGGAGCAGCCGATCAAACTCGATGACGAAGTCCTCCAAACACTATTCTGAGAGGTAGAGGACATTCCGAACAGCGGACCAATCACCAGAATCTCCAACGACTATGAGGATGAAGCAGCACTTACACCCAACCATCTGTTGCGCCCGGACTCCGACCAAAGCCTACCACCTGGCATCTTTGTCAAGGAAGACCTATGAACCTGAAGATGAAATGGCGACAGGTTCAGTACCTGACCAACGTCTTCTGGAGGAAATGGAGCCGCGAATACCTATAGTCGGACTACAGGAGCGACAGAAGTCGCACAAGGAGACTCGGAACTTCAAGGTTGGAGACGTGGTTCGTGTTGCCGACAGAAACCTCGTACGGAACAGTTGGCCTATAGGTGGGGCAAGTCACTGAGACTAGTCTAGGTGAAGACGGCTTGGTGAGAAGTGTCACAGTACGCACTGGGTCATCAGAGTTGAGGAGACCTACCACAAAGCTGTGTCCCTTGCTGGAAGCGGACTAATGTCGCCAGCTCGACTTTCGAGCAGACTCTAGCTCACATCATCTTGAAGTAGTGTTTGTTTTCTTAGTTTTGTTTTGTATGCGCGTCTTAGTTGTGGTAATTGATCCTGACCTTTCGTCCCGCAATTAGGGAGCCGGGATGTTTTGGAATGGATTACGCAGTATGCAACATTCGGCAGAGGGCGCTACAGATACGCGGAATTATAGGGATCGCAAAAAAAACGCGTATACCAGTTTCGTAGAAGAAATCACTTAGTTTGTCAAGGTTAATAGGACCCTGGATCCCAAACCAGCGGTGTGAAGATTCCTTAGTTTTTCTAAATGCTCTGTATAGTGGACATTTTGTAGTGTTGTAGATTTAGAAGGGAAATTTGGGAGGTAAAACAAGCTACGTTTTGTCACATTTCATTGTGAAATGCTTAATCGTGGCATAATTTCTCCCCACATCAGGCCTCACTCCCTTGCACAATCATTATCTCAACTTTATCTTAATATTCCAACTCATCGACCGAACATCTGTAGTACATTTGTAGTAATTTTGGATAGATTTTCGTGTTTTAAATTATCATGGGACTCAGTTCGTAACGTACGTAACCGTTTTAGGCAACAGCGCCCTCTTGTGGTGGATTTCCATACTTCCTTGCTTTTGGGAGCTTGTTCCTTGCTCTGTGTTATACTAATTTTGGCTGTTCTTATACACTTATTGTTTACTTCTTTTCTGTATTTTGAATATAGTTGACATGGCATTAGGCAACTGTTGTGGCATTCAAGGGTAGTTGTATGTCGTTTACCAGAGAGAGAATAAACAAGTGTTTTCATTTAAACCGACGTTACACCAAGTTTTGTTGATCCTAATATTCCTTTTAGTTCGTAAAATAATTCTTGTTACTATTCAGAAGAGCAGTTTAATTATGTAACATTCATTTCAATGATGCCATTTGTTATACAAATATGTACAAACATGTTTAAATGATATGAGGAATACAATTATATGATTTTTAATATATATACACATTGATTAATAAAGTAGGTACTAACTAAATGAAACCATTTAGGTGTAAGGTTAAGCTTAATGCTTTTGAACCCCAACCTATGTTCAGAAAAACATAAAACTGTGATATGAATATAATGACAAACAAAACACGTAAGACAGACCCATAGACACACAGGACAAGCGTGAAACAAGACGTAACTACTACTTCACTAAACGAAAAGTTCCTAAATACAAATGTAGTCATAACATAGATGGATTTTTAATTGATTCACCTTAATATAAGAAGTCTTCAAAACATTTTGATAAGCTTACAATTCTTTTACAAATTTTTAGACTCGGTCAACCATAGGTTTTCTGTTTAATCTCCGTGTTATCAATTTATAACGAACAACAGACATGGGAAAACTGGAGGAGGTGTTGCACTGTGATTGTGAGTTGACTTTTAAAATTCGGGAGGACCTTAATTGTTTTAACGATACACTTGAGTCTTTATTTGTTGAAATCTTAGTTCCAAGAGACATAATTGCAGGAGTTATGTATTCCCCAAGTGCAAGCCATAATGACAATCTCCACAGGCTTAATGCTGACCTTCATTCCACTGACAAGTACTTATACATAACTCTGAACAGGGTTTTAATAAGTTTATTGACCATTTTAGGTGTTTTTTTTTTGTATGATAACAATATTCCTCATTTCTCATAATCAGCTAGAAATGACTAAAACATGGCATTTGCTTTTACTACCAATTTTTTAAGCATTTACTCGCATCTGTAAGGCAGGGTTATGTCTACCTTGAAAATATAAAAACACTTAATTCCGCGCAAAAATTGCTGTATATATTAATGTTAATCGCGAAAATTAATATTAACAAATTTCATAAAGTACAAATACCATAGACTTAGTTTTAGTCCTATGAATATACGAATCCATTTGCACTTACTACCATTTCTTTTTAGCATTTACCCGCATCTATCTGTATGAATAAATAAAGCAAACGCTTTTACTGAAAACCATTTGCTCTTGAGTAAAGGCCCGTGCGCAGTGTCAAGCGGCACATGTGCGCAACGTGATCATAATCGGTGCGCAGCGCGTACATACAAATAGCTGTCATAGATATAGAATAAATTACTATACCTCATACATATTCATGATCGAGAGCCAAACTTTCACTGGTCAATTCACAATCACGTGCCAGATGTTATTCTTGCCGTTTACCAAACGCGCGCGCGAGGATTCATGCACATTGTAAATACGCATGCGTAGTAGACTATCGCATGGGTTACCCGTGCGACAGTCTACTACGCATGCGCTTTACAGAGCAATCGAGGAACTGTCGCACGGGTGCAGTACGCACGCGCGAACATCGCCATCGAGAGATGCATGGTTGCACGGTTCGCGTAAATGTTAATTTCCAGAGCTCAATGATGCCGTACTGGAAAATTTTTAGACCGTGTAAAGATGTCTCCTGTACAAAAGAAAGTTGTACACATTGCAAACAACCGTATTTACAACTGTAGTAACTGTATTATATTGCAAACGAACCGAGCTAGTAATTGAAGTTGAGCAACATTATTCTTTTGGTGAGCTGTACAACTTTCCCCGAATTTTGTTTTAGGTGCATAATAATAAAAAAAAATTATGCAACTGAATATGTATGAGGTCTAGTAAAACAAATATAACATGGTTTATTTCGGGTGGACAGTCGATATTAGCTCCCCTCGGTATTGGAAGTTGACAAACTAGTTTCCTCGGCTTCGCCTCGGGAACTAGTTTGTCAACTTCCAATACCTTAGGGAGCGAATATCGACTGTCCACCCTCAAACCATGTTATATTTGTAAAATGACATTCTATATCTATGATAGTTGTATGACTTGGCGCACATTTATCGCACAGTGAATGGGGGCGTATGCACGTGCTGCCGATCTAGTCTTCCTACAGCCTCGACTCCAGGGGCGCGTGCTCGTTCCTTACACTAACCCCTGGCTGTGATGATGACGTAAATGACGCTGAATTGCTATTCACAGCGTACTGCGCGGGCATTTCGAAGATTGCACGCCGGGAGCGCCCATAATATGCGCTCGCGTGCTTAGCTTTGCACGTAACGTCACGTACGAAAAAAAAATTATGATTCAAAAGTCGCGATGCCCGTACGATATGGATTATGTCAGCTACGTTTTTCGCAAAAAAAAAAAACCTGTATCTGTGGTTGTAAAGGCACGAAAGGGGTACGTACATTTAATACAAATCTTTGCTAATTAACACAACGTCCAAACGTTGTGTTTGAAAGGATTGATTCTTCAAAATCACAACTTTTAACATTTTAAAGATGGCGTCGTCACGTAAAACAGATAAACTGCAGCCCTAATTATAATATACCGTATTTTGGTATATTTAAATTACACAATTCAAGGGGTTACGATCGCGCAAGGCATGATGGGAAACAACATGGCGCTGCAAGATCGTACCCACGGGGCACGAGCTTGGTCTTCCTATGTCTGCGTACTAATGACGTCGTACAATGTTTGCCGCAGTGCGTTGTGGGATTGAGTGGGGGTCGCTGCACCACGCTTGCTATAGAAAACCTGTAGTATTATTTAGGTCTATATAATTTTAATTTGCGTCACGAAAGCTATCGAAAATGACCCTCAAAAGTGATAAAACCTTTTCTTAAATAATGTAAACTGTGTTACAGGTCGATGATTCTTTAAAAAAAAACCGGATAATTAAGGTACGCACGACGCTAGTCACGATGGCAATATATCGCTTGGTATTAGCGCGCGTGACTGTATGCACTGTGTACAGCGGGCAACCCTCGATAAAGAGGTACAACCGGTATAAAGAGTTAAACCAAATATTTACATCAAAATGGAAAAGTGTAACCACGGCAGATACGTACACAAAAAGACAGATCACGCAGCGTGAATCAAATTGCAGCATTGTTTTTCTCCATCGATTTTTGCATGGCACCTGGGACCGAATTGACTTAGACCAAAATGGTTTTGAGTTATCTCGGTCCCAAGTCACGTCGGTTCGAGTCAACTCAGTCAAATGTCAACTCGGTCCCAGGTCAACTCGGTCCCAAGTCAACTCGGTCCCAAATCAACTTGATGGGGAAAAAGTGCTCTAGCAAGGCACGAGGGGCGAAGATCAAATTGCGCCATGTTAGGGTACATCAACAATACACTGTTTAAATGATTACGTCATACACCGCTAAGGTAATGCCTTGCGGAGGTCACGCGTTCCACACAAACGTGGCCTTAAGTAGTGACAGCATGGTAAAAATGAGTGTGTCTTCGGACTTCGACTCCAAGTCAGACTCCAAGTCCCAGTCCAGATTCGCTGATTAATAAAGCAAGACAACTGCATCTTGACCTCTAGATTTTGACCAATCGGCAGCGGGCGCTTTCTACATCGGTCTTTGGTCATTGACCCGTTACGCGTCATACACATGGATAAAACAAATCTGTGTCACGCGCTCTGTAACATGTTACGCGATATGCACCCGGCTTATGTTGTATTACAAAACACTGCATTTGAATTGAACATTCAAACCATTTGTCCGAATTTGGGAATGAAATGACGTCAAGATTTAGTAAAGTCGACTCCGATTGGCTGGCGCACTGCTTGCATATATCTGCATGCTTAGACATGTCAGACGTTAACCAGGAGACTTGGCTCCGTGGCTAACGGGTGATACTCAGACTATAGACACGGTCTCTATACTGTGCCTATTGCATTATACAAACCCTCCAGTGATAAACCACAAAACTCTCATATGAGGGAAATTGACAAAACGTAATTTTGTCGGCTTAGAGAGTAAGGAGCCTATTTACTGGCCCGCTTCAACATGAGGCATCGAGTCAGAACCAAGATAGCGACCAAGACAGTAGCAACAGCTCCCATGCCCACGAAGGCGAATTCGTACATTCCCGTTACATCGTGGATCAAACCTATTCAATCAGTACCAAAAAAAGAGGTTCAGAAATCAGAAGATGAATAAACAATTGTTCTTCTTTCTTTTTAGATTTTTAACGGATGTATCTTTAATTTGAACTCTGAAATGCTTATGTTTAAATATTTGTATTAATGTGTAATTTTTATCGTAATTCCTAGATAAACTATATTATTAAAGTTTTGCCTTTTTCGTGTGTGTGTTTTTTTTTAATCCAGTATAAAAATAAAACCAGAATTTAATTCAATTGAATTGAAGAGTTCACATTTTATTACACACAATTGAAATACTATTTCTAGAATGTGTTTTGGAATTGCGTGTTTTAAAACATGACTCTTTTAGTTTTCAGTTATATTTGTTTCACATGTTAGTGCCACTGTCTGTTAAGGATAGCCTTAACCTGCTTCGTGGCACGGGCAGTGATTCAGTCTCTTTTTTTCATATTGGATTATTTGCTCTGAAATCGTGCGTTCTAGACTGCACTAGAAGAATGCACTACAAAGTCTCGGATTTTATATTGCAACCCAATATACTCACCTGCAAGGAATCCACCTAGTAGCTGCCCTCCACCGTGGGACAAGAACAGCCAGCTGAAGGCCGATGTTTGCTGGTCTCCGGTGATTTCCCGCATCACGACAAAACACAGCGGAAAGATGGCCCCGATAGCGATCCCTGAGATTGTGGCAAGGATCGCTATGGCATCGTAAGATGATGTGGCCAGTGGATTGAGACCGCAGCACACCGCAAAGACCAAAGACGACAAGGCGAGGAGAGTAGAAGCTTTGATGAGGCCACTGTCGACAATGCTACCGTGACCGACTCGTCCTACTAGAGCACCCAGGCCGCCGTATGTGGCCAAGAACGCCGAAGGCTTGTCGCCAAAGCCTAGCTCCAGGCTTTGGGGAATGAGGAACAAATGCCACATGCTGTAAACCATGCCATTCAATACACAGGCAACTTGGTAAATGATGAATATAGGATCAGCTAGGGCCTGAGTGTCGAATCGCTCGCGAAGAACTTCCAGAATGATCGAGAAAACTTTCTTGATATTCACGCGACTCGTATTCCTATCCGGCGACAGGTATTGATCAGATTGGTTTCCTGACTTCTCGGTTTTAGCATCGGTGTCATTCATCTTGTCCGGCAACCGAGTGTAGCTTGCTCGCATTCGATGTAGAGGTCTCAGTAAAGCCCCACTTACCACGTAGTTGAATGAAAATGCACCCAAAAGTGCAAAGGCGGTTCGCCATCCATATAGTTCAACCAGGCGGTCCATTACCGGGGGAAGTACCATCACGCCGATCGTCCCTCCACTCAGAGCTACGCCATTGGCAGTGGCAAAGCTCTCTGGGAAATAGTCCATTGTAGGTTTAATAGCTGCAACTTGTATAAAAGCTAAGCCAATGCCTGAAAATATATACAACAAGAAGATCCTTACTTGACATCCACACCAACAAAATAACTGCCATAGTAGCTCGAATAGTCGGTTGGTAGTCTGCCACTTGTAATACAAAAAGAAAAACCGACTGCACTATCAAAATCTGAACGGCTTTAAAATAAGTGGAGACCTTTTAAACACATATTTGATTTTGAGTATTATTGTCCCGCTAATATTTTTACATAGTCCATTATAATTCCTGACATCCATTCCCATGATGTCACTCTAGCATGTTCTGCACAAGTATTATGCTCCTGAAATGAAAACCGACCATTCTAATAGTTTTGCGGCAAGTTCTCTCATTGATTTGCTTCCATTTACAGCATCAATTAGCCTAAGGTATTGTAGCGCAACGGTGTGCTTGCAGCGAGTTATTTATAGCGCGAGCACGCGAGCAGCAGCGAGCTTGCGCAGCGCCCTCTGTAGTTGGGTCCGTTCGCGCGAGAGGAGTTGATCACAGCGCGTCGTTGAGAACGGACGTGAATTGCGGCGTCTCGTGGAGAACGAACGTGTGTGTGCGTTGTCGTGTTGCTGCACTGACGTGCTGACAACTGGGCGAGGACAGGAGGTTAGTAGCCGGAGACACGCCGGGGATCTGAATCTTGGTCCGTGTGTTGCTACCTCGTGGGCTGTATCCACTGGGGCCTCGGAAGTCCTGCCGCCGGTAACTTGGGGTTGCCTGATAGTAAGTCGCAAAAGAGCGTGGGGGAGCGCTGCGAATAGTCCACCCTTGACGCAGGTGCCGTTTCATTCAGTAATTATTGTTGATTAACTCTTACATTCTAATTGAACCCAATAGAGAATTAAAGAACTTGATTGTCGTCGTTGTCTGATGAATAAAGGTGTCAGTGTCTGTTTCTTCATCGTTTGTTCAGTCTGTCAGTTGATGTCCCTCCCTTAAGTGAACACCCTTAAGGAGACTACTTTGTACGTGTTGGCGGCATACGGCCTTCCGAACGGACGCATTCCCTAGGTCACCTAGATCACCGCTCGTCTAGGCTTACCAAAGGTTTAGTCAGGAGAAGAAGCGCCACATTGGTGTCAGAAGTGGGATAAAAGCGTACATCAGGAACCTTGAGGATCGAGGATAAAGGGAATGGAACTGATGAATAAAGACATGATGGAGGAAGAAGTGGCCATCCTTAGGATGGATGTCCAGAGAGGAGAGGAACTTCTTCAGGATGCCATTGAGGAAAGGCAGCGTCTGAAGGACGAACTGGAGAAAATAAAAGGGGAGTTGCTGGAGTCTACGCAGCGTGGTCTGGAAATGACACCAGGAATTAAAACTCCTGAGTTGTTTTCGCTTACACCAAGACTGTCACCCTTGGGAACAGTGCCAGCAACACCAGCCAATACGATGGCGACCTCTGTGAGAGAGGAATGTACCTTGGAGACAACCAAGAAAGATGGACCTGCAGGAACAGTCCTTAGGAGAAAAACACATCGGAGCCAGTCAAGGAGGACGTGGCTGAAACAGAGATTAAGTTGAAGAAACCGAACATTTGTCCGGATAGATTTAACGGTAAGGTGCCTTGGAAGGACTACAAGGCACACTTCATGGCCTGTCGTGTGGCCAATGGATGGAACGATGGGCAAGCGAAGGTGTTTCTTGCTGCAAGCCTCCAGGGACCAGCCTTAAGTGTGTTGGGTTGCCAGCCGGAGGGTAAGAAATATTCCTTCAGGGATTTAATCAGCTCGTTAGACCAGAGGTTCGGCCCAGGTCAACAGGCGGAGTACCATTTAATGGAGCTGCGACATCGTCGTCAGGGAGAAAAAGAGACATTACAGGAGTTAGGGCAGAGTATCAGGGAACTCTCTGCGTTAGCGTATCCCGAATTCTCAGAGGAAGGAAGGGATCGATTAGCGAGAGGACATTTCATGGATTCAGTTGGAAATAGGGCAATTAGAGAAGCAATTTTCAGGGCCAAACCAACATCCCTGGATGACTCGATTAAGGCATCTCTGGCTGCTGAGAGCTACCACAAGGTGGAGGAGCAGAGAGCTGCAGACAAAACCAAGAAGTATGCAAGAATGGTGGAAACAGAACCAACCGTGGAGGCTACGGGAGAATGTTCCTACTGGGAGCAAGGAGACGATACGACCTTTCGGACGCAGGAAGGCAAACACTGAGGACGTGTGCCACAATTGCAGGTGCAAAGGGCATTTTGCGCGAGACTGCAAAAAGCCGAAGGCCAGGAGATCAAGGATGTCGGGAAACGACATGCAGCCGTCTCAGGGACCCGTGAAACGGCTGGAAGAAGTCAAGGGTCAGACAAGTGCAAAGGAAGCCACCACCAAGGTGGAAGTGGATCATTAGATCAGGAGGTGAAGACCCTCCAGGTACCGCTTGAGAGTGATAGACAACTGTGAGGAGAGGAAACCCTTAAGGAATCCCCCTTGAGTTGCGGGCAAGGAGGCTTGCCCACCCTTGAGGTGCTAGCCTCAAGTGAGACGCCGCGACAGGGAAGTGGACTTTTCGTACCTGCTGTGGTTAGGGGACTTAGGGTGAACATGTTGATCGATACTGGAGCTACAAACACCTTACTTTCTGCGTCGACGTACCACAATATGTCACCAGAAAGAAGACCTACGCTGAATACTGAAGGAGTTGGGGTGCATGGTGCAGACGGAACATTAATCAAGACTATGGGAAGCGCCTGTGTAGAGGTCCAGGTTGGGAAGACAGTGAGAGTAGTTTGTGTTGTTTTTGCACAACTGGAAGTCGAAGGAATCCTGGGAATGGATTACTTGTTGCCGACCAATGGGAGGCTGGATTTCAGGGCCTTGACATTTACTGTAAATGGGGAGTGGATCAAGTGTGTTGACAGACATCGGGCTGGGGAGTCACACCAGAATGCTGATAGCCTGTCACGCCCACCCCGCTCACGGTGCGGAAGAGACGAAATCAGCTGTGACGCAGATGAAGGGAAATCTGTGGAAAGAAGTGTTGTGATGGACACTACGGATCAAGACGCGGAGGTTCGAGCAGACTTACGCGTGGTGGGGGTGCAACCCCAAATCTCAAAGGAAGGTTGGAGAAGGGCTCAACTCGAGGACGAGCAGATGAACTGGCTTATTCAGGCTAAGGAAGAGGCAGGCACACGCCCTGACTGGGAGATAGTTTCTCCAAAATCCACGGCTGCAAAGAATTACTGGCTGCAATGGGAACAATTGACAGTCCGACAAGGGATCTTGCAGCGTCGGTGGGAGTCCCACGATGGACGGGAGTTGCATTGGCAGACTGTAGTGCCACAAGAGTATCTGGAGGAGATACTGCGGGAGATGCATGCAGGAAGGACAAGCGGTCACCTGGGTACAAAACGGACCATGACTAAGGTGCGCCTTAAGTTCCATTGGTCAGGCCTTAGTGCTGATGTCAGGTCCTTCATTAGGCAGTGCAACTTGTGTGCAAGGAGAAAGTCGCCGAGCAAGAAGCGGAAGTCACCTCTACAGCAACATTTAGTCGGGGTACCTGTCGAGCGAGTGGCTATGGATATCTGTGGGCCCTTCCCTGTAACAACCAGTGGAAACCGATACATCCTTGTGATCGGTGATTACTTCAGTAAATGGTTTGAAGCGTATCCCATCCCTGACGAAAAGGCGGTCACCGTTGCGGTGCGATTTGTCGAGGAGTTCGTGTGCAGGTTTGGAGTTCCCAGGACGTTGCACACCGACCAGGGAAGGAACTTTGAGGCGAACTTACTTGCCGAAGTTTGTAAGATCCTTGGCGTAGAAAAGACTCGGACAACACCATACAACCCTAAATCAGACGGCATGGTCGAGCGCTTTAATCGGACACTAGTGAACATCGTAGCAATCATGATGAAGGACCAGGGAAACAAGAAGGACTGGGATAGAGAGTTGCCTTTTGCAACAGCGGCGTACCGTAGTACTCCACAGGAAACAACGGGGGAAACGCCCAACATGGTCATGCTTGGCAGGGAAGTTTCCCTTCCAATTGATCTGACAATTGAGGAACCATCTGCAGAGGAGGAGACGCAAGACTTGGACTATGCCCAAGAGATGCGGATGAGGATGCAGCGATCTCATGACAGAGCCCGTAAGTGCCTTGCGAAGAGTGCCAGGAGGCAGAAGCGCCACTAAGACAGGAACGTCTGCAAGGAACAGTTCGTCGAGGGCAAGTTCTGCTGGTTGTTTAACCCAGCGAAAAAGAAAGGAGTATCTCCAAAGCTGATGTGCAGGTGGGAAGGTCCATACCTGATACTGGACAAACTATCCGACGTGACTTATAGGATTCAACAGAAGAGTGGGGGAAAGATGAAGGTTGTCCACAGTGACCGCCTCAAGCCCTATGAGGGAAAACCGTTGAAGCCTTGGGCCAAAAGGAGGAGTAGTAGTCAGGAGGAAGACAATCAAGTTTCTCCCGAAACTCAGCTACAAGAGATAAGTGAAGTGAGCCAAGGTAGTGACCAGGAAAGTCATCTTAAGTTTCATCTTGATTAAGAACCTTAAGAACTGCAACTTAAGTTTTGTTTTCATGACCTTAAGGCCGTGATTTATTTAAAGTTGTTGCTTGACTAAACTGTTGTTTAAAGTTACTTAAAGTTTAAAGTTACTGAAACCCTTTTTGTATTTTAAGACTCTTAAGTCAGAGTTGTGTTTATTTTCATGAGAACCTTTTGCATGTAAAACAGTTTTACATTGTGTATGTAAAGTGTACAGAGGTACGGTGAGAGATCTTTATTTAAATCATTTGGTTAGAGTCAAAAAGTGAACTGAAATTGCCAGCGAAGTAGATGTTTACTTAAGTATGCCTGCAACTGTTTACCTCAAGTTCATTACCTCAAGTGACCAGAGTTAAATGTCAAAGTTTCACCTCGCCTTAGGGTTATTACCTTAAGTGACCAGACCTTACCTTAACTTACCTTAAGTTTCACCTTCACCTTAAGTTTATTGCCTTAAGAGAACATTATTTTGACAATTATTGTTTCATGCTAGGAGCAAGCACATCCTTTGCTTTTAGTTATACCAGTTTTTAAGACCGAGGACGGCCTGAACTTGAGGGTGAGGCTGTGTAGCGCAACGGTGTGCTTGCAGCGAGTTATTTATAGCGCGAGCACGCGAGCAGCAGCGAGCTTGCGCAGCGCCCTCTGTAGTTGGGTCCGTTCGCGCGGGAGGAGTTGATCACAGCGCGTCGTTGAGAACGGACGTGAATTGCGGCGTCTCGTGGAGAACGAACGTGTGTGTGCGTTGTCGTGTTGCTGCACTGACGTGCTGACGACTGGGCGAGGACAGGAGGTTAGTAGCCGGAGACACGCCGGGGATCTGAATCTTGGTCCGTGTGTTGCTACCTCGTGGGCTGTATCCACTGGGGCCTCGGGAGTCCTGCCGCCGGTAACTTGGGGTTGCCTGATAGTAAGTCGCAAAAGAGCGTGGGGGAGCGCTGCGAATAGTCCACCCTTGACGCAGGTGCCGTTTCATTCAGTAATTATTGTTGATTAACTCTTACATTCTAATTGAACCCAATAGAGAATTAAAGAACTTGATTGTCGTCGTTGTCTGATGAATAAAGGTGTCAGTGTCTGTTCCTTCATCGTTTGTTCAATCTGTCAGTTGATGTCCCTCCCTTAAGTGAACACCCTTAAGGAGACTACTTTGTACGTGTTGGCGGCATACGACCTTCCGAACGGACGCATTCCCTAGGTCACCTAGATCACCGCTCGTCTAGGCTTACCAAAGGTTTAGTCAGGAGGCAGAAGCGCCACAGTATAAACAAAGACAGGAATTAGACACAGCTGCCAGACCAAAATAAAGGAAGCACAAAAGGAGAAGAAAATACTTGGAATGTAATAATAATAATAAATATGACTTGACTTTGGTCATTGTGTTCCATTTCCTAACAACTGTACTCAAGGCATATCGTAGTGAACGAAGAAAAGACACGTTACCAATTAGTCCAAATTCCGGCCTACAGATTCTGAATATTCTGACCAAACGTGACCCAACCAGGCAGGACGCAAATACATGTACAAGCACGTTTTCGCCGACACTCGGATTTGTTCGCAATAGCTCGGGTGTTTCCGGGTCTGCCGTGATTGGTATCAAACCTATAACATTTTGGATTTCAGTAAATGGCAGCTCACGTTTGCGCAATAAGCGTGGGTGGGATTACTCCGCCGATGAAACATCTATTCATTTGCACAACCCTATAGAGTATATATACACATTTTTGTTATTTCAATTTTGCGCGTTCCGCGTCCATTTGTATATCATGCAATTGGACAATATTCACAAGCTGCGTTTTCGCGATTCTAACGCGATTCTAACAAGGCAATGTATAAGAAGCTCCCGGATGTCCGGGCAGTCCTATTATGATGCAAACCTTTTTTTTCTAGTTTCTGCATGTACTGGCACCGTGTCTAATGTATGCAATCGGAGAGGGCACTGCTTATCCGGTTCGTTAGTGTGACGTCACCTCCAGCACTTTCTGCACGATTGGAACCGGAAGTTAACGCAGCTCGAGCGTTTGTAGCCAATGGGTGCTAGTAATCAATGGTGGACGCGCGTGAATGACGTTTTTACTAACGAACCGGATAATGAAATTATCTTCCAGCAAACTTGACGCACGTACAGTACAGAAGAGAAGAAACACGCTTTTCACGAAGATTCGATTATTCTATTTGCACGTGCTTCCAGTAGGATTGTTATGTGTCTTTGTACTTGTCCAGTTTGTTAAATGTCACTTTCCTTCTTATACATACACTGCGTCAAATTGAGAATGAATGGTGTTGAAGTACATGAGGAGTCTGGAGGATTAAGGATGAATGGTATTTGAAAAGGAAGAGGATTTTGGAGGATTGAGGATGAATTCAATTTTTTTTGAGGCGGGATCGACTGTCTGACGATTTTGAAGGTTTGAGGTGCTTGGTATTTTTCACTGGACCATAAAAAAGTGCAACATTTTGGAGGATTTTGGAGGATTGATGGAGGTTCCTAGCTAAAAGGGCCTAGGGAGTTAGGTGTTTTCGCGATAAATTTATCATCAGGAGCTCTTAAAATTATGGCGATTCACAATGCAGTGCGCCATCAAGAGTTTGCTACAGAGAGTTCATTTTCCCAGTGCATTGTGGGAGATGGTCTACAAAGGCCAAGTTCGCGCAAGAACTATAGTTAACCATTGGTCGACTAACGCTTGCCCGAACTTTGTCTAGTCGACGATGGTTAACTACGCTAGTCGACTATTTGGAACCAACCTACTGGGGCTGGTTGCATCGCTGGTAACCATAGCCGCGCGCGTTCATAACGTACAGCAGGGAGCCAGGATCCAGACGTTTTGCGATGACATTTTGACCAGCGTTCGACTAGGGACGTTCGCACCTTGCTATTAGTGCGCAGGCGTAAGGTACGTCACAAATCAACCACTAGTCGACTTATGGTCCTTGCCCGAACTTGGCCAAATTCGCAGCGCGGGACATTTGAAATTGCTAGTTTTTCCGGTCAGTAGTTTCGTAAGCGTATGATTCTAGTATGTTTGACCTTTTCTTTTTCTTTTTATTAATATTATGTTTTTTTGTAAGGCGGCAGAACGCTATGCCCCAATCTATCACTGACACTCATTCAAATGGGCCGTGTTTTGTCGACCGCAAACTTTAAAAATGGACTCTCCATGGCAAACTCTTGGTGGCGTACTGCATTGTGAATCGCCCGAATTGCTACGCATCTTGTGAACCACAGCAAATCCGTTATGACCTGCTGAAGTAAAACAAAATATTTAAAAAGTCACAAAATGGCCCGATTCGGGGAGAATGCAAAAAGAACATTCGTCCTGTCCCGTGATGTTGGCTAAATTCATAATCAGCCAAGAAAGGACCAGTTTGCTCCAATTATACATACTTATCAAAGCAAACATCGCTGCCATTTGGGTCATCGAGCACGAAAAGGACGCTGCCACGGTACCAATACCAGCAAGTAATCCTCCTGCAATGGTAAGCTTTCGGGAATCCCATACCTTCATTAGGGCACCAATGAAGGGACCTATAAATAAACACAGATTTTGTGATGTCTCAGGGCCATGACTGTCAGCAGAGTATAATAGCCGGCCTCATGAAAAGCTGATGTTCCTCGGAATTAAGATCACTAAATCCAATTAGTAGATATTTTGTGATATGCACAGCTCGTGTATTGTTCTAGTTCAATTCTCAGCTGTGGAATTGTAGGCCCTTACGAAGTTATAAGTGTAAAATGATGCGTTACCAATTCAATGAAAATTTATTTTAATGGCTGTAGCATATATGTTTAATTAAATCAGAAATGTATTTATCATGACATCTTTAAGCATCATCTAGTACGGGCCAAGTCCAAATAATTTTCGAGTACTGATAGTCGAGTACGGGCCAAGTACTTGTGTGTACTCGAGTCGTACTCGAGTACGAGTACTCCAACACTGCTAATGGCCAAATTCTGGCAAGCTAGCATTGGTCTAGAATGCATTTGGGAAGTTAAGGAGAAATGACGAAAAAATGGAGATTCTTTGGTTCGAATGAATCATTGGTTGGTATAAAGACAGGAACGTGTTATCAATGTAAGCTCAACTGACGTCACGATGACGTCATCACGTGTCATGTGACTTCACATTAAAGTGGCATTTTGCTGAGGCCTATATCTAGCGAACTAAAGGTCAAATTCAGTTGAATTTGGTGTTGTGTATTATACATGATATTTAGTGACAATGAATCGATGAAACTTTTTATCATCACATGTCACAGAGCCATTTCAAAAACAGACGAAACAGCTTGTATGCGTACACGAAAACACTTTTTGTTCCATTTTTTTTTAAAATTTACAGCTTTGGAGGATTTTTCATTAAAGAAAAATAAAGTCCGACTTACATTAAATTTAAATTCATTTCTTTTATATATATTTCCTCATGTTTTTAGGGAAGTACATCCCAAAACCTCATAGCTACACTCCATTTGCTTATGTCCTTTGGGGAAAAAATCGCTGCCCAACATCCGCACCGCTTAATTAGAAGTTCTGTTTCATGGTAAATATAAGCTCCATTGCACGGTCATGCGATTGCTGGCTCTGACCAGATGCAGGCCCGTCGCCAAGGGGGGGGGGGGCTGGTCGGGCCAGCGATTCCCACCTCCAAACGGCAAAAACCTTACATATATTTGGTTTTTTTTTATGGGAGTGGGCCCCCTAGTTGGTGCTATACCCCCCCCCCCCCCCCCCATGCTCAGAGCTGGCGACGGCGCTGACCAGATGACAAGGATTTATTTAGGTGTCTTATAAAACAAATAATGAATGTTTCACATTCGTGCAAAGGTAAGAATAATTTCATGAAGTGACAGTGGAATGTTCCATTCCACTCAACTTCGCTTCGTGGAATGGGACATTCAATCTGTCACCTAATGAAATTACTATTAATACAGGGTGAGTAACAAAAAAAAGATCCCAAACCCCAAAAATTACATTTCATATTGAAAAAAAAAGGTAACACCAAAAAATAATGACTGGAAAGCCAATTTCATAAGCTACCTTTAGATGACAAAATACTGAAATTGCTTAATCAGTTCAAAGAATATCACCATTTAAAGGAAATGACCCTAAAACCTCATTCGTCCAAAGATGAGATTTAAAGAATCGTCCCGAACTACAGTTGTTGACAGTTGTTGAAACAAGTATTCTGTGTCGTTTTCTTTGTTGTTCCAAACAGTCAGAACACACAATAAGTTGCTTTTTTTTTTTGGACGAGACAGGTTTTATGGTCATTGCGTTTAACTGGTGATATTCTTTGAACGGATTGAACAATTTCAGTCATTTTTTTATCTAAAAGTAGCTTATGAAATTGGCTTTCCAGTCATTATTAATTTTGGTGCTACATATTTTTTTTAATATGAAATATAATTTTGGTATTTGAATTCCGCTTTTTTTTACTCACCCTGTACGTTTGTTAACATTCATCAATTAAACGAATTTTCAACTATTCATGGGTTAAAGATGCCCAGTTATAGGCGCAGATCCAAGGGCCGAAAAATTGGGCAAGAGACATTGCGGCTTATGGGGTGATAATGTTGCTGAAATGCCCGTGCATTCCCTGTGCAATGAAGTACAACCTAAATAGCTTATTATTTCCGCTATCGTGGACAGAATAAAATATTGGGGCATTATGTTTATACTTACCGAAGATAAACATGCCAAAGCCTAGTAGGAAACTGCAGATAAGGCCAGCCACTGCTGTACTGGTAGAGAAAGTTTGCACAAAGTGTGGGAGAAATACGCCGAGCGACTTGAAACTACCCAGAGCTATGAAACACCAGAAGAAGCGAGAAAATATAATCATATATCGCCAGGGGTGAGGAGGTGACGGTGGTACGGTCTGGCTGTCCATTCTGAAACAGGGTGGTTTACTGAGTACTGCTAGTACTACAACAGACTGTTGTTGGATTGACCACAGTGAACAGCAACCCTAACTGCCCCTAAAGCTACAAAATACTAGTACTACTGAGCAGAACCTGTAGTATGCATGATGCATTTCTTTCCATACAAGTATGCTCCACACATGTAGTATTCTGTGGTATCTTCGCTACGAACACTACACAAGTACATGTACATGTACAGTGTTACGTGTGGACACACAAAACTAAAAGCCCAGTCAGTCACACACGGCAGCAAATGCAAATTAAATGGGAAGAATAAACAATCAGCCAAAACAAAAGGAATATGTATTTGAACAACCAGCAATTAACAAGGCGGGGAAACGATGATGTCAATTCATAGAAATTAAGGTGCACGACTTTTAATTATTATTCATAAGTCAATCCAAATCAGAGTGAGATCAAGGAAATGAATGATAATAATACAATTTATACAATTATAATTTAAGTATCGGCCGATTATTACGCAAAATGAATTAATGAATGTCCGGTGAACTGAAGAAAACGTAGGAGGCCGGGTTGCTCTGTTAACCGATGAGGGGGCGGCGTGACGAACGGCGTCTTGTCACCTCGGGATTCCGAGGTGTCGTCCAACGAGTGGAGCTTGGCTGACTTGACTGAAGAAATTAACCGCAGGACTTGACTGACGATGAGGGCTCACCAATAGTTCATGCTGTCTTGAAGCTTGAATCTTGAGCATGGTGAAGAGCCAAGGCGTGGAAAGAACGGCCACGCCCAAGAGGGTCCACTCCAGGTTGCTTGACTTGAATACAGGAGCTGGTTCTTCAGTGTTGTCAGCGGTCCGCCTGCCCGTCATGGCATGGCTAACAGAGGCTTCGGCATGGGAATGTCTATACCCAGTGTATAGTGGGCCAGCACATTCCACTATTTCACTCGAAGTTTATGCAAAGTTAATACGAAGGTAAGTATTTTGTAGGGTTCGGGCCCAGAGGATTAAGCTGATAATCCCTCACCGGCTGGCCTGACCTAAATACATGGAATTTAAATCCCAGCTATAACAACAGTGATAGGGTAAAATAGCAAGACTGTGTAACTTGTAAGCAATTGCACGCATGACTGATTTGTTTTCTCAAGGGAAGTGCGGAGGCGGGGGAAGGCGGGGGGGGGAGCGCAACAGCCAAATGCGAAAGGCCATCTGTGTACCTCTTCCATTTGAAAAATAGAGGGGGTTTAAATTGTTGGGAAAATTAACATCCGCTTTCAACGGCAACCATTTTGAAACTTTGAAAATTGCTTGTTCTACATGTATTTTTTCAAAGGACAAATCTGCGATGCCCTGTATAGCTAAATATCTTTCTTAAGACACACTCTGACCATCCTCCATGCCCTGACTATGTGCTAAATTCCATGCTTGTATCATCAAAGGCACAATTCCCCCAAATAGTTCCCCTATCTGTCCCATAGCCCACATACAGGGAGTACGGATGTCTATTATTATGGATTTATTAGCGTAGTGAGCGACTGTGAGCAAGCTGTCCGTCAGGTATGGCGAGCCAAAGTAAAATTTATATAGCATTAGCAAAGTCTTTTAAATAATTCATTGCTATCGATGATGTCTGTAATGTACTAAAAAGATATCTCTAAAGGATTTAGAGATTCTTTGAATCATTTAAAGATATTTCTAAATCGCGTTTAATAATTTGGGCAGCATTGAGCTGTTGTAAAAATGTTGGTAACGTGGGCTTCTGTAATTTTATTGACGACCTCGCGATCGGTGATGACTTATGATGTAGAAAAAAAAAATGGCAACACCATTTACTTCAAATGCAATACTTAACAGGCAACACCGGCGATTTCATCATTGTATTCGCTGGCAACATGATTGACTTGAGCGTGCAAAGCGTTGTATTTAGTGGTTCAACGGAGCCGTAACCGATTAAGAGATATCTCTAAATATTTAAAGATATCTTTAAATCTTGGAATGCATGAAGTTGTTGTCTGATTATTCAACACACAATTTGGAGATATCTCCACATGATTAAGAAATATCTCTAAACGAATTAGAGATATTTCTAACTCATTTAGAGATATCTCTAAATCATTTAGAGATATCTCTTAATGATTTAGAGATATTGTTCAATGATTTAAAGATCATCCTTAAAACATTTACAGATATCTCTAAATGAATTAGGGATATCTCTGATAGTAAGAGACAGGGGCGGATCCAGGATTTTCAAAAAGGGGGGGCACAAAAACTTTGTGCGCGTTGCACACATAACGAGACTGAAGCGCGAAATCCCTTGCAGGCAGGGTTGAGGGCACTGGAAGCTCTACGATTTTAGATGTTCTCTCCTACATCATGAGTATTTTAAGCCATTAAGAGCAAAATTCACAGTGTTTATTTTTTTAATTTTAATAATACTTTTTTTTCCTATCAAATATAGAATTTAAAGTCACTGTTGATGTTAGTTGAAAATGAACCCCAAAATTAGAAGGTGCTGATGACAGCCCCCGGGTGAAAAAAAAATGAAATGTGTTATTTTGCGAGCGAGCGCAGCGAGCGAGCCAAAAAAAGTCATGTTTACTATTAAAAAAAAACATTTCTACCCAGAAATTTGCCTTGCAAACAAATAAAATAAAATAAATTTCATTTCATTAGGGGACAGCCTGCCCCAAGCAAGGGCGGATCCAGAACACACATTTTTTTTGGGGGGGGGCCAAAAACAAATTTGGTCGTCCCAAAAAGTGGGTCAAAAAAATTACGGCGTGGGGTTCGGGGCCCGCTTAAGGGCCCCGAAAATTTTGTGGATTCTAGATGCTCTGTGGTGCGATCTGAGGCAATTTCTGACCACTTTAACCAATGTTTTTTTGAGGAAAAGATGGTGGTGTACTCATTGCCTGCCTTTTTTGCGATGTCATATAAAAAATAAAAAAAAATTGCTTTCGTTTTTTTTTGGGGGGGGGGGGCATGGCCCCCTTTGGCCCCCCCCCACCCCCACCCCCCTGGATCCGCCCTTGGCCCCAAGCAGCCCCTACCCCCACCCCACCCCATTTTGGTTGATGTTATTGTCGTTTCATTTTTGTTGTTGTTGTTGTTGTTGCTTCCATCATCATTAATAATATCATTTTCGTTTTGCCCCTCTCCTGGTATTTTCTTTCTTTTACCATGTAATGTAATTGGTGATTTTAGTTCAATTCGTATTTTCTCCATTATCATCCCGTTTGTGTGTGTGTGTGTGTGGGGGGGGGGGGTGTTTATGGTGTAAATCGGCGGATGTGATTGGCTTCACTTTTGAGTCCCAGTATAATGTGGTAACTGCGGTCATATATACTTAATTTGTATATACACTTGCATACACTTTAACCACCATTTATTTCTCAAAATATAAACAACTTTGCCAGCACAAATTTCCCGAAAGCGGCAGCATTCCTGAGCTGCCGCTTTCGCATACAAGGTTTCAAAATAGTCACATAAAAGATTTCTGGCTACACAACCGGCAGTCCCAGGCATCACAGGGGAGCCTCCTAGCAACAGTATTTCCAAGCAACCAGGTTGGAATGTGACGGGCATGCAGCCATGCACCTGTGGCTCAGATAGCTAATCACTCCAGTTGCGCGTGGAAGGAAGTCATATTCATGAAAGCAGACGGTCCGTGATGAAAGCAACCAATGGCATATTTATTTGCCGGGAACCGGCTCATTTCATTGGCTGAGATACTATCATCACTGTTTATCATCTAAGAATCTTCCAATTACTGACGGCAAGTTCTCAAAGGCCTTAAAGTTCAGTGGCCTACAGCTGAGCCCAAATGTATATGCTTTGTAACGAACAAGAGTGGAATTGTATCAATTTGAACAATGCGGCTATCAATCATTCTCTGGAAAGGCTTTTCGGAGCTGAAATTTTATTTGGGCATTTTTTTCTCAGAGACAGGGGAAAACTTTATGCGAAAAATGTGGGAAACTGAATTGAACGTGAAATTTCACCTCCGTGTTGTGTACATGCACATAGATAAACGATTGGGGGATGATATTCCAAGTCCAAATAATTCATTAAATGTAGGGCTCCCGATGTCTTTTTTTCGTAGTACGATTTTATTCTTCGCTTATTTAAAAAATAAAACTGCATGGCCTACATTATTCTTGTAAATGTTACTCTAGAATATAATTATTTCGGAATACATTTTGAAATTAAGTTTGAAGTCAAAGGGCTGTTGATGATCTTATTCGTATTCCTTTTAAAATTAGGAAGAACTAAGCATAATTCGTATTAAAATTTCCCCTGGAATCTACAAAAGAATTAACTGAGAGTTCAGAAATTAATGGGCTAGGGTGTTTGAAATCGTTTTACTTTAAAAATAAATCGAGAGAACAAGACATACTAAATCGTATTAAAATAACTCCTATTTATTTGATGTCTCTCTCTATCTGAGGCCGGGACAATATAAAAGGGATGACGATTAATTCTTCGTGTATTTAAAAAATTAATCGCATGGCCTACATTATTTTTTTGAAAATGTTTTACTCTAGAATATATTTTGGAATATATTTTGACGCTATTATTTGAGGGATGTTGTTAATCCTGATATATTCATTTAAAAATAAGAAAAACCGAGCATAATTCGTATTAAATTTCCCCTGGAATCTACAAAAGAATTAACTTAGAGTGCAAACTTTAACGGGCTAGGTTTTTTTTAATAATTTTGCTTTTAAAAAAATATTTAGAGAACCAGGCGTAAATCTCTCTCTGAGGTCGGGAAAATAAAAAAAGGGGATGACGATTTTATTCTTCATTTATTAAAAAAAACCACATGGCCTACATTATTTCGTGTACCGGTACATGTTCTACTCTAGAATATATTTTGGAATATATTTTGACATGAAGTTTTAAATGCAAGTGCTGTATTAAATGTGCCCCCAATTCCAGCCGGGAAATAAAAGTGTCTTATAAAAATACACTCTTGCTTTGAAATAAATTTTTGAGACAATGATTGACAGGCTACCTTCAAAACTTATACATTGTATATTTTTGTTTATAATTATGTATGATAGTTATGTTCAAAGCGATTGATTTGATGACCTCCCGTCCGCCCGCCATAATGACTCCT